GAAATTGTTTTGAGAGTATCGAAGCGCTGTTCAAGTACTAAGTCACCACCTTTCAGGTGAGTGCATAGTCCCTTTCATCTTACACAGATATATGAAGTATTTAATATAAATTGCATGTTATGTGTGCATATTGTCTGAATACTTACTGTCTATGCTGGGTGAAATATTTTTATACATGTTTTAGATGATTTAAATTGTATATGTATTTTATATCTGCAAAATGTGTTAGATTAAAACATGGGTAGATGAAATAGTTGTTGTGTGACAACACGATGAAAGACATCAATGTTGACAGTGATCCAACGATCTAGTGGAGTATAGATGACGACCATGGACGATACTAGACAGTCTAGTGGAACGCTAGCAGGCTCGTAACCTGTAGGTGTTTTTGAACTAGGTGCTCATTAGACATTTTTGAACTGAGTGTGTTCACTAGGTATTTTGAATTGAGTGTGTTCACTAGGTATTTTTGAAATGAGTGTGTTCACTAGGTATTTTGAACTATGTGTGTTCACTAGCTACTTTTGAACTAAGTGTTTACCAGATGTTTTGGACTACGTGTTCACCACTTGTAACCTATAAGCCTTGGTAACGATGGACTTCGTGCCAATTCCTTAGGATGATCCTTAGGAATAAATAAACGAGGAATAGTTGACTCTTAGGGAAGATCCTTAAGAGTAAAGAAGATAATGGAGATGGGTAATTGGGTTGATTGTTTGATTGTTTTAAACATAGTAATTACATTATTGTGGGTTGAAAACCCTATGTACTCACCAGGTTTCCCAACCTGACCCACTAAGTTTATTTATATCACAAGTGTCGATATGAAGTCACATTACACTGAGAGGTTAAAGAGATGTAGATCACTAGTGTAAATAAATGTAACTTCTGTTTATGCTTATGTTTCTGTATTGACGATGACATCCCAAACGTTTTAAAACGAATAAAATACGTTTCTTCGAAAATGTTTTGATAACGTATTTATCATGTTTTTCTGGGAACAAATTCCGCAACATTTGTATGAAAAGAAGTACTCTGATTTTTATAAAGCATAAACAAAAAAATCGGTCTTTTCTAGCCGTGAAAATGGGGATGTTACATTATCCCTCTGGATGAAATTGCAATCAACGAGAATCTCCAATTCGTAGAAGAGCCAGTAGAGATCATGGATCGGGAAATTAAAAGAACTAAACAAAGTTGGATACCCATTGTGAAGGTCCGCTAGAACGCCAAGTGAGGACATGAATACACCTGGGAATGCGAGGATCAGATGAAACAAAAGTACCCGCATTTTTTCCTAACCTATAAAATCTGTCTTAGATTAAATTTCAGGACGATATTCCCTCTAATAGGGGGATGATGTGACAACCCGATATTTTTCAAATCAATAACATTCAAAAAGTCAAATACAACGAACTATTTGGAATCGACGAAATTAGCTTAAAAAATAAAGTGTTCTAAAATCTAAATTGGGATACATAAAATGTTAGATATCATGCCAAGGTTTCCAAAAACATAAAGAACACTCAAATCCGAGTTATAACGAAGAAGTTATGACCAATCGAAAATCCACGACACGCCCGGTAAAACATTGCTAAACGTAAAAAAGTGAGGTTTCAATAAAATGCTTTTTAACCTTAGGTATCTAAACGTAAGTCGTAGATTACATTAAACCGTGAACGTGCATAAAAAGAACGCCCAAATCGGACATCGTATGAAGAAGTTACGAATTTTCTAAGTCGCATACCCATTGTGAAGGTCCGCTGGAACGCCAAGCGAGGACCTGAATACACCTGGGAATGCGAGGATCAGATGAAACAAAAGTACCCGCATCTTTTTCCTAACCCATAAACTCTGTCTTAGATTAAATTTCAGGACGAAATTCCCTCTAATAGGGGGATGATGTGATAACCCGATATTTTTCAAATCAATGTAACATTCAAAAAGTCAAATACAACAAACTATTTGGAATCAACAAAATTAGCTTCAAAAATAAAGTGTTCTAAAATCTAAATTGGGACGCATAAAATGTTAGATATCATGCCAAGGTTTCCAAAAACATAAAGAACGCTCAAATCCGAGTTATAACGAAGAAGTTATGACCAATCGAAAATCCACGAGACGCCCGGTAAAACATTGCTAAACGTAAAAAAGTGAAGTTTCAATAAAATGATTTTTAGGCTTAGGTATCTAAACGTAAGTTGTAGATTACATTAAACCATGAACGTGCATAAAAAGAATGCCCAAATCGGACATCGTATGAAGAGGTTACGAATTTTCTAAGTTTCGTAACAGCGGTAGACAACTAAAAACTCGAAATAAAGATCGAGCGATTTTTAGCCAACGCAACCTAAACGAGAGTTGAAGGTCTCTACAATAGTAGTACAATGGTAAAAAGACAAACAAAAACATATGTCAGATAAAGAAGTTATGGATTTTTAACGAAATTAACGTGTCCTGGCCTATTAAATAAAATATAATTAAAAATAAGTTTAAAAGTTGCCGACGAAATCTAAATGAAAGTTGTAGAGTATTTTCTCACCTACGAATGGATATAAAGAACGTCAAAATCGGAGCACGTATGCGAAAGTTACGGATTTTACAAGTCCGAGGTGCACAGAACGAGACGATTTACGCCCAATGTACCCTCGTACGCCCAGCGTACTCAGATGCTAGGCTCCAAACCAATCACGTCGCCCCCTACTCCTCTATGCCGTCCCGTCCGAAGTCCGGCAGTCGAAGATGCGCTCATGCATGACGCACGAGTACGCCCCGCGTACCCTCGTATGCCCAGCGTACCGAGGGCCTCCAACCACTATAAAAAGGATGCGAGGGTTCCATGCATTTGTGCTCATTTCTCTCTTCTCACTCACAACCCATTTAGCATCCCGAGACGACCCTGACACCCCGGTTTAATACCCCATCCCCAATGAAGGTCCAACGCTCCAATATTCCCGAGAATCTCGCCACTTTCCGGTCGAAGTTCCGCCCGAGAAAAAGATCGTTTCTTCGAATCGTCACACTTCCCAAGTGAGTTCATACGCCTACGTTTTTCACGTCTTTTTCATGTTTTATGGGGGGAATACAAGTGCAACACGAGAAAACATATCGCTTTATATACATTTAAATACAACATCTATATTTTTTAAAATACTTCGATATCAATATTATACTTTGCATGAAAAGTTAGTATTTCATCGAGTTATTATCACCAAATGGAACACACTTTTGGAAAAACTATAATGGGTATAGTTTGTGGGTTATTCATTACATTCTTACGTAAACATTTGTGAGAATGAACGTTTGTACTAAGTGTTGTGAGATATTCAACTTCAATGTACTCTTAAGTATGCATTTCAACTCCTGTATTATAAACAATAATCTCTTGGAGGGAGAGCATGATACTTGTGTATAGATGTATATGGGATTAACAATCCCGCACCTAAACTGTTAGCTACAGTTAGACTGGCAGGTCTGGGGTGACAAACATCATAACACTACAACTCCTGAAGAATGTTGTTACAGGCAGTCTGTGTCAATAGCATGGTTATAAAACTCACACGGAAGTACTAAAATAAGTTTGATTTACGAGACTCTTGAATACATTCAGTATTTACATTATTTTAAGTATAAATTTACCTTCATCATTGGAGCACGAAAGATACTAACGCCCTCCAACTCTTGGGACTTTTTCAAACTATCGGTAGAAAATATTGGATTTTCTGGAAACCACATTCTCCTATTTTTACTAAAAGACATACAAATTTCAGTACAAAAACAATAATAAACTCACCAACTTTATTGTTGACAATTTTTCGAAACTACTTGTACTTCTCAGGGAATCATTAATATAGGTAATCATCAACTTTTGGAGGATGAACGCTAAGGCATCTATTATCAAAACATTTTAAATCATCATATTTGTAATATTTGTTTGAAACATGTATTAAGCAACATTGTAAGTTTTTGTTATATATATGATTGTTGTGTTTACTTTCTTTACAATATTCAACTGTTATGATACTAAGTGAAGTCACCCACCCCCGAATGTTTCCGCCATTCTGGTTTGGGGGTGTGACAGATTGGTATTAGAGCATTGTTTATAGTGAACTAAGTATATCTAGCCACATAAGATATACAAACTATAAATGCAAAGGGACCAAAAACCCTCTGACAAAATGTTTTCATAAACGATACTTTTAATAAATTAATGTGATATATATATACATATATATATATATATATATATATATATATATATATTATTTTTTATTTTTTTAAAAGTATAAGTACATGCATGCATCGGTCTCGTATTAAAGAAATTTTGTATAAAAACTATTAAGGAAAGTTACGACACTATGACTAAGCCTCGGGATACGTTATCAGATCGAGAATAAATATAGTCTGATCAACTATATTTATCCTGGACTTGACCAACGTTTGTCTACGAATGGTCGTAGGAAGTAACAAGTCAAAAACTTACCAAAGAAATTATTAGAAACAAACTTACAAATTTGGAATACTATAGGAGTATTTTATAGAACCATAAGAGCTACAAAAATCATGAAAATCTCAATAATTAGTTGAAATTAGGAAATCATCAAATAAATATTTTTTTTTTATAAAAAATTACTTTTCTCCCAAGTTTTCTTACCTCTACTTCTCGATCAGACAAAATGGCAGAATTTCACATTTCCGGGGACCCGTACTATCCCAACCAAGGAAATGGAGGTTGGATCGCGGACGACCCAGAAGAGGATTCCGAAGAGGAAATTCCCAAGGAAGAACCAAAAGAGGAATCTGAAGAGGATCCTGGGGAAGACCCAGACGCAGGATCAGAAGAGGAAGCATATGGTGAGAGCACAAATTCGGAGCTGTAGGTCTACAACCCTCCCCAAGGAGCCGATGTTCCCCGACCAGAATTTTAGAGCCCGACACCTCGCTGGGCTATGGATCTGAAGCAATGGAGCAGGGAACAAGGGCAACGCCCATGCTATAGAATGGCACAAAGCTTCTATAACCTCCGCAACGGGGGTTTGGCTGACAAGGCACTCCTTGTCATGGTTCATCGCATTACCAACCATGGCGGTCAAGCAGGAGCAAATGCCAAGGCACTCCCTGCGGTACGTCTTTGTCGTTTGGACGAAGAACACGATCGGACAATAAAGCACACCTTTTCCCTTCAGAAAGAGATTACTGCTACTAGAGCCGAAGTAACGGAGTTCCGTGAGCAACAAGCCACAATGGAAAGGCATATCATCGAGGCTGAACGTCAAGTAGCCCGAGCTAAGACTTCCACAACTACGTACCATGGTCTGCAACGTCCTACACGCTCGGAATAGAACACATACTTGTGACGCTATATTTATATCTATCGGCTAAATGCTAGTGTTACCTTTTCTTTTATAAACGTAAACTCGATGAATTGTGAGTACACAACTCGGAGGCCAGAATGCAGTTAAATTTTCCCATTTTCATTGATGTAACCTAGAAATTTTCCTGATCGTTGTATCATATACTAATATCAATGAAATTGACACGCATTTATTACTTCCTTGAGTATCCCATTATTCATACGCTTGTTTTCTTTTGAAAATTTCCGTTAACATATAAAAACCAGAAATGTTCAGAACTAAAATGTATGAACCTCCATTAATCATTTCAACTGACTTATCAAGCATTCATCTCTTAACTTGTGGCAGAATCATGCCACTAAGAAGGAATCCCGGACGTTTTAATACAAACAAAGCGCCAACACCACCTCCACCACCCCCTCCAACTATGGATGCTGCTACCTTACAGGTTGTTGTAACAGCCGCTGTAACCGCAACAATGGCACAAATGAGTAACAACGGGTCAGGAGGAGGGATAAATAGCTTTACAAATGGTCAAACCAAAGGTCGTACTGGGGAATGTACTTACAAAGACTTCTCCAATAGCAAACCCATCCCCTTTAATGGAACTGGGGGAGTGATGGCTCTATCCCAGTGGATAGAGAAAACGGAGCTGTGTTTGAGATATGCTCATGTCGCGAAGAAAGCAAAGTAAAATTTGCCGCCTGTACTTTCTCCGAACGAGCCCTAAAGTGGTGGAATGGCCACGTCAAGTCACTAACTCTGGTGGTGGGAAACTCCATGGGTTGGGAGAACCTGAAACGAATGCTACTACGAGGGTACTACCCAACAGGCGAGATTCAGAAGCTCGAGTAGGAGCCTTGGGGCCTTACGATGGTGGGCTCGGACATCACATGCTATACAAATAGATTCAATGACTTGATAATACTTTGCCCAGGAATGATGATTTTGGAAAGCCAAACGGTGGAAAGGTATATCTAGGGGCTATCACCCTAGCTTCGAGGAAATGTGCTAGCCTCCAAACCCACAATGTTCAATAGCGCCAAGGAACTAGCGCAATCTCTCGTTGACCATGGGGTCTGCCAAAGTGTCACAAATGTTGTCCCAGAACCAAATAAAGGAAGCAACAACAATGACAACAATGCCAACAACGACAAACAAGAAGAAATTTTGGAACAAGAGAAATGGTCAAACTTCGCAAGAGCCTTCAAAGAAACATATAGTGGCGGTCCATGCTGCTACTGCCCTCACTGCTATTCTTGCTACCCCTACGCTAACGAAGCAATATGCTGGGAACCTGCCAAAGTGCAAAAAATGCAATTACCATCACCAAGGTAATTTTCGGGAGATGCACTGTAAAAACTGCGACAGGAAAGGGCATACTACTCGTTTCTGTAAGGCACCGACGCGACCAATCACCCAAGTTCCTGGTACTGGAGTAAGCCATGCATGTTATGGGTGTGGGAAAACTGGGCACTTCAAGTGGGATTTCCCTAAGGAAAAGAATATTGGCGGTGTAGGAAGAGTGCTGGCAATAGGGCAGAATGAATCAATAGCTGATCCCATGGTGGTTACGGGTACGTTTCTCAATGGGCTAGGACACACTGAAAGTCCTTCTGACAAGGGAATACTGCCCTAGGGGCGAAGTTCACAAACTCGAGGAGGAACTCGGGAACTTCAAGATGAAGGGGACTGGCATAATGGCTTATACAGCCAGGTTCTGCGACTTGGTAACTCTATGTCATAACCTGGTCCATACTGAGAGCAAGAAAATCGAACGATACATCTGGGGTTTAGTGCCCCCGTATCAAGGGAACGTTTTAGCATCACACCCTACAACCTTTGATAGTGCCAAGGAATTGGCCCAGAGGTTGATTGATCATCAATTTCCTTCCACTCCATCAACAACCACAACGGTTGCCACTGCACCGACCAAGACATCTGACAACAAGAGGAAGCGGTAAGACCGAAAGTAGGGCAAGTTAACTTAATCCTCTTCCAAGAACCAACAAACTGTGGTTGTCCATGCTGCCACTACTCCTGCTGCCCCTGTGCCATCCAAAACATATGCTGGAAACCGACCCAAGTGCACCAAGTGCTCCTTCCATCATCACGGCCACTATACACTACACGAACTGCGACCTGAAGGGCCATACCACCCGGTTTTGCAGATCTCAGCCCAAACCCATCAATCAAGTTCCCAGAAACGGAGTGAGACAAGCCTGCTATGGTTGTGGCGAAACAGGGCACTTCAAAAGAAACTGTCTGAAAGCTAAGAATGCGGGAGGAACAGGAAGTCTACTTGCTATTGGCCACAATGAAGCAGTGGCAAACCCCCACAGTAGTCACGGGTACGTTCCTTCTTGACAATTCTTATGTGTGTGTCCTATTCGATAGTGGGGCAGAAAGAAGCTTCATAAACCAAAACTTTAAACATTTACTTAAACAATCCCCGCAACCATTAAAAGAAACCTTCGTTGTAGAAATGGCTAACGGAAAGACAGAGAGCTCTAACGAGATCTACATGGGTTGTACCCTCACGCTAGATAATCACTCATTCCCAATCGACCTTTTACCAGTATCGATCAAGAGTTTCGATGTCATTGTGGGCATGGACTGGTTGAGTCTCCATCGTATCGATATCCTGTGTTTCGACAAAGCCATCCGCCTAAACCTACCGAATAACGAAACCTTGCTGATCTACGGAGACAAACCCAGTACGAGCCTTTGTATCATCTCAAGTATCCAAGCCCAGAAGTACTTGCCTAAGGAATATCGTGCACTCCTTACACACGTCGTCGATACGAGCCGGAAAACAAAAGACCTAAAAGACTTCCCCGTAGTGCGCGACTTCCCCGACGGCTTTCCGGAAGAGCTACCAAGTTTACCTCCCCAACACCAGGTCGAATTCCGGATTGACTTAATTCTAGGAGCTACACTTGTAGCCAAATCACCCTCTCGTTTAGCGCCTGCTGCGATGCTAGAGCTGTCTGGTCAACTTAACGAGCTGCTCAGCAAGGGATTTATAAGACCAATCTTCTCACCCTGGGGAGCACCGGTGTTGTTCGTAAAGAAGAAGAACGGACCGTTCTGTATGTGCATCGATTACAGAGAAATCAACAAGATGACAGTAAAAAATCGTTACCCTCTTCCTTGTATAGACGATCTATTTGACCAACTGCAAGGGTCGAGTTAATTTTCCAAGATTGATCTAAGGTCCGGGTATCATCAGTTATGATTGCTTGAGGAAGATGTCCTGAAAACAGCCTTCCGAACTCGTAACGGACACTACGAGTTTGTAGTGATTCCATTCGGACTGACCAACGTGCCCGCGGTGTACATGGACTTAATGAATAAAGTGTGCCGTCCTTACTTGGATCAGTTCGTCAACGTCTTCATTGATGACATACTTATCTACTCTCGAAGTAAGGAAGAGTATAGTGTTCATCTCCGACAAGTCCTGGAATCCCTACGATCGGAGAAGCTATACGCGAAGTTCTTTAAGTGCGAATTTTGGATCCGAAGAGTCGAATTCTTAGGACACATAGTTAGCGAAGAAGGAATCCATGTGGACCCATCCAAGATTAAAGCTATTAAGAACTCATCAGCACCGACGATACCTACAGAAATTCGCTAATTTCTAGGCCTCGCTGGCTACTACCGCAGGTTCATACAGAACTTCTCTCGAATCGCGAAACCCCTTACAACATTGACCCAAAAAGGCGTGGCCTTCGACTGGGGAGTGAAACAAGAGAAGGCATTCCAAACCCTGAAACAAGCCTTATGCACCGCACCGATACTATCTCTCCCCGAAGGGACAGAATATTTTGTGGTATTCTGCGATGCATCCCATCCAGGGCTCAGTTGTGTTATGATGCAATGAGGTAAGATCATCGCCTACACCTCAAGGAAGCTGAAGACACACGAGGTCAACTACACCACACAGGACCTCGAACTAGGAGAGGTTGTGTTCGCCCTAAAGATCTAGAGACACTACCAGTACAGTACGAAGAGCACGATATACACCGACCACAAAAGCCTCCAACACATATTTAACCAGAAGGAGCTCAATATGAGGCAACGATGGTGGGTTGAGCTACTCAATGACTACGAATGCGAAATTCGTAATCATCCGGGTAAAGCCAATGTAGTAGCAGACGCCCTAAGTCGGAAAGAATATTCTGGTCGAAGAGTCAAGTAATTAACAATGACTATCCGTTCGCATTTATCTGCACAGATTTAGGAGGTTCAGCTCGAAGCCTTGAAACCTGAAAATGTAGCGGGAGAATCCCTACGAGGAATAGATAAGAATTTGGAAGTCAAGGGTGACAGAGCCTTATATCTCATGGATCGAATCTGGACACCGCGACACAGTGGCTTTAAAGTCTTACTGGTGGCCTAACATGAAAGCAGAGATTGCTACCTTCGACTAAATGCCTTACTTGCACCAAGGTCAAGGTCGAATACCAGAAACCATCAGGTCTTCTACAACAACTGGAGATACACGAATTGAAGTGGGAGCGGATCACTATGGACTTCATAACAAAGCTACCCAAGACAACGGGTGGGCTTGATACCATATGGGTCATCGTCGACAGATTGTCCAAGTCCGCGCACTTCCTACCCATCAAGGAAACAGACAAAATGGAAAAACTCACAAGAACATACATTACGGAGATTGTACGACTGCATGGTGTTCCCATATCTATTATCTCCGATAGAGATATCAGATTCACTTCGAGATTCTGGCAGTCACTGCAAAGCTCCTTAGGAACGAGGTTTGACATGAGTACAGCCTACCATCTGCAGACCGATGGACAAAGTGAGAGAACTATCCAAACTTTGGAAGATATGTTGCAAGCCTGTGTGATCGACTTTGGTAGGGCATGGGATACCCACTTACCGCTCGTCAAATTCTCTTACAGCAACAGTTATCACATGAGCATCAAGGTTGCTCCATTTGAAGCCCTTTACAGTTGGAAGTGCAG